AAAAAGAGGGCTGGGGATTTAGCTCAGTGGTTCTGCTGCCTGCCCCACAAGCCCAAGGACCTGAGTTCGATCCCCGGTACAAAAAAAAAAAAAAAAGAAAGAAAAACAAAACAAGAAAGCAGTACTACCCTCATTTCAAGATGGGGAAACCATGCAGAGAACCTGCAGTGGGTCGTGGCCCTGTTCCTTAGGCTCCATACCAGAGGACCAGGTAACTGAGTGAATTCCAGTTGGGTCCAGAGTAGCTGTGTAGCAGAAAAGATGAGCCATGAGGGAGGGAGGAGAGAGATGCCAGCAGAGGCCTATCACATGGGGGCTGAGCCCAGAGAAGGTTGCAGAATCAGGGCTGAACCCAGCAATGTCCCTCTAAGCCCTGCACTGGCAGTGTTGTGATCCCGGCACTGCCAGGCCCTAGCTGTACCCCTGTGCTGCAGTGTCCCCACCTGGAAACAGGACAGTGCCTGCCTCTTAGGGCTGTTACAGAATGGTGACTGGCCCCCTTGAGGTTCTCAGAGGGCTGCATCTGGCCTGTTCCTGCCCGGGGAACCTGGCTCAGGGCAAGTCACACATACAGAAAGGCCCGGCACCTGCTCTCAGTACCCCTACCCACCATGCTCACCTGGCAAAAGGTGGGCGAGTGCACGGCTGACAGCGCCTGGCGCAGGGTGTCCACGTCACTGAAGCCGGGGGGGAGGCGGTCCACACAGAGGCAGCGCGAATGCAGCAGGGCCGGCGTAAGCTGGCCCGCATCTGTCCAGTGCACGTACAGTGTACGCGGGCCCAGTGGCTTGCCCAGCAGGTCCGACTTGGCACGGGCAGCCGAGTCCTTTTTCATGTATTCAGCGAAGCCATAGCCCTTGGATTGGCCGGTGTGCTCACTGTAGACTAGGAAGCAGCGCTCCAGGCTGCCAAAGGGCCGAACTAGCTCTTCAAACTGAGCCTGCGTGAGGCTTGGGGGCAGGTTGGCCACACACAGCAGCGCATCCGTGGGCTGCAGCTGCACTGACAGCTCGCGATCCCGCAGGTGGCTCTGGTGGAAGGCGTTGATGGCTGCCTCGGCCTGCTCCCCATTCAGCAGGGTCACGAAAGCTGCACACAGGAGGGAACGTGGGATGAATGTGGGATGTGGGATGAAGCCCTGAGGGCCTGCTCATAGGCCTGCACCCACTGAAACACGTGTGACCTCAGGACAGGGGCCACAAGGACATTCCCAGGTGCCAGCTGCTCCAGGCAGCTGAGCACAAGTGTGTGAGCGGGCCAGCTGGTGCCTCCTGCAGGCAACCCGTGTCCCTCTGCAGCCCAGAGCAGTCAGGCCAACCATGCCCATAGCTGCATCCTACAAACCACATGACAACAGGGTGCCACCAGGGTAGGGGTGGAGCTGGTGGTCACTGGAGCCCAGATTTAAGCCTCAGACTCTGTGTGGCTTTAGGCCTCAACCTTCCCATCTGTCCAACAGGAATAATGGGGCCTCCCAACACCTGGAGCGGGAGTGGGCTCACAGCAGCACCCTTGCCAGGGGAAGGACCCTTGAACACAAACAGCCTGGCAGTGGCACAGCCTGCAATCCCAGCTCCCTGGAAGTAGGAGGTAGGAGGAGCACCTGAGCCCGGAGTGCAGAGCCACCCTGGGCAACACAGGGAGACCATATCTCTTAAAACCAAGTCAAATCAAGTAAGGGCACGCCTGTATTCCCAGCACTTGGGAGGCTGAGGCAGGAGGATGGAGTTGTGGCCAGCACGGGCTATAGACCAAGTTCAAGGCCAGCTGGGGTACAAAGTGAGACCCCATCTCAAAAAGAAAACAAATCAAATCAAATAAGCCAGGCACAATGGTATACACCTGTAATCCCAGCTATTCAGGAGGCTGAGACAGGAGGATGGCAAGATCTAGGAAGTGCCACACACCGAGAGCAATTAATTCACCATCTGTCACTTGCTGACAGTCAGAGTGAGGATAAACCAGGGTTCCAATTTGATATCTGTCTGTCCCTGGCCTGCTGGGTAGGTTTCCCAGGGACACATTCGTACCCCTATCAGATTCAAAGAAAAGCCTCTGGCTCACCTCTCAGAGTTTTGAGGAGAGAGGAAAATGATCAGGGTCAGATTTGATCTGTTCGTTGTTTTTTTTTGGTACCAGGAATGGAACTCGGATCCTTGCGCTTGCGCAGCAGGTGGCGAAACCACTGAGCTAAATCCCCGGCCCAGGGTCAGGTTTGATCTGATGGGGCTCCCGGGGGGAAGGCAGGTGACAGCATGAAGTGTTGGGGGCAGTAAGGCCGGAGGGAGGCAGAGACAGAGGGGACGGGGACTAGGTGAAAGCCAAAGTGGCTTGGAGGAGGAAAGCAGACAGGCCCAGTGACTTGTTACCTGGAGCAAGTGGGGTGGGAAGGGGGTGAGTCCCAGGCCCAGAGGGAAACATGGGGGTTTCCCAAGATGCGCACCCAGGATGCCAGGCAGATGATGCCCCTGCTGCACTAGGTTCAGGGACAGTGTTGGGACTAAAGTTCAGGAGACACTGGGCCAGGACCTTCTCATCTTCCGGGACTGTCACCTCCGGCCCACCTGGCCCACCCTGTGGCTCCACAAACCTGTCCCTTTGTACTTGTCCACAAAACAGTACTTGAGCTCATAGTCACTGAGTAGGTCGTGTACTTCCTGCAGAGAAAGAAGCCAGAGGACAGGGAGTCAGTAGGGATGGAGGGGACTTCCATCTTACAAATGAGTCTGACCACATTATTTGCTCAAGGCCATTCAGCTGCAGAGGTGGGATTGCCCACTATTAACACTTGGACTTCAGGGAAGCTGCTGAGCCTTATTGCTAAGCCTCTATTTGGAAATTTTATTAACAACTCTATAGTTATGTATCAATCCATTTTGGAGGTGAGGAAACTGAGGCTCAGAGAAGTTAAGAAACACTTGAGAAGGTCTGCAGTTGGGCAAGGCAGCAGAAGAACACCATTCAGGGCCGCCTGACCAGGGAGGACAGGTACTTAAAAGCCCGTATTGGACAGCTCTCGCCCTCCTCATTCCTTCCTGTCACCAGGGTCACCCTCTCATCAGCCAGTTTTGAGGGTGAGGCACCAAGGCCTGCTTGTGGCTCCAGAAACAAATCGGAACATGCATGGTGGTCTTTTATCCACCCCCAAATCATGCCCTCCTATGACCCTTGGGGTCCCACTAGCCAGTGCCCACCCATGGGCAAAGAAGACCAATGGCAGGTATGTTGGTGGGCCAGAGAGTGGAGAGTCCCAAGAGCAGGGACTGTGAACCTCTGCCATTCCACTGCAGCAGGGCAGGGCAGGGCAGGGCAGGGCAGGGCAGGGGAGGGCAGGGCAGGGCAGGATATATGGCATTTCTCTGGGTCCAAAGAGCATCGGGAAGCCCTGCCCCATGTCGGTCTCAAGACAAGGGTGCTCCTGGCAGCCAGATTAACCAAGACAAGTTCCATAGATCATCCCCTCCATTTTCCTGTAGATCTGAAAAGAGCTGGGAGGAAACCTCATTTTCCCAAATCAGTCCTGAACCTTTGGAGAAGGCTTCTACAACTTCCGGCTCTCTCCACCAGAAGCATGCATCAGTGTATGATAGGAAAGGGGATACTCTAACCCGGAAACTTCTAGATATGAAATCTTGCCACCTCGAATTAGTCGACTGGGGAAAAGCACAATCCGAAATGGGGTCGCCTAGAATCCCTATTTCCACCCCTCCTAACAGCAGCCCATTCCCAAACCTCCAGCGAGTCCAAAGCTCCCCGCCCCCTTGTACTCTCCGCCCCCTTCAATCACTTAGCCTCGCCCAAGCCAGTGGTCGCCCCTAGCAACGGCCTCCCTCAATCCAAAGTTGGTTTCTTCCCTCACCACGGTCCCCCACAGCTCTTTCATTCTTGGTCTCTCCCGACCCCCGCGAGGATCCCGCGCTTGGACGCCCCCGCCAACTCCCCCCACAGACGCCACCACTGGTGTCGCCCGGTTTCCCCCGCGCACGCGCACGGTGGTATTTCCCGCCACGCTCCCATACCGCCCCCCCATACCTGGTTGGTCACGTCCCCTGGGAGGCCCCGAATCAGTATCTTGCGGCGGTTACGAAACTGTCGTTCGGTGTGTTCCAGGCGTTTCCGGATCTCTTCCGGATCTAGCGGCGGCAGCTCTTCGGGCGTCCGGCGCTCTGCGGTCTCGGTGGCTTCAGCCTCGGCCCCAGGCTCCGGGCTCAACTGGGGCCGATGAGTAACGGACACATCGGCCGCCATCTTGGGAAACCCGGCGCCTTCTGGGACCAGCGAGCTGGGGCGGAGCGGCATAGAGCGGCAAAGACCACGCACCTGCCGATTGGCCGAGAAAATCCCCGCCTCCCTCCAGACTCCTTCAGCCCATTGGCGAAAGCCTAGCCAGCCTCTCAGAGTAGAAGACGCGTCAGGGTCGCCATAGTCACCGCCCCCTTCCACAACCGCGGTGCCATTCAATAGAAGTTCGGAGCGCTGGAGAGAGCCTAGCGGTGAGGAAGGAATCCAGCCACAGACTACGGAGTTTAAAGGCTTTATTCGTGGGAAATTCCATGGTACATCCAAAGTCCTGACCGTCTTTGGCCCAGGATCCCGGCATCCCCCAGATCAGGACGACGCCTCTTCCCCCGGTGTGTCTTCAGACTGTATTGCCGTGAGGGGCACCGAGTTGCTTTGCTGCTTCACGTGGTAGATGCCACACCGTTTCTGCATCCCGAACACATATAGTAAAGCCCCTGAGATAATGACCACGCCCAGGACGGTTAACACCGTTACGCCAATGGTGACCGAGTGGTCTCGACCTGCGCAGAGAAAGCTGGGAGTAAATATTCGTGCCCGGACCCTCATGGGCTTTCTACACCAGCGCCGCGGCCCCTCTGGGTTCTTGCCCCGAGGTCTGGCCTCCTGGCAGTGATAACAGACTTTGGTGTAACTTGACACGGAGTAGGATACCGATGTTACCGCAAGCCCTTATGCCCGAAGCCTCCTTGGAAACAGCCTCGAGGCTGGATTGCCGCTGGCCACGCACTGCACTACTTGAGTAGTGCTGTCTCTCCACTCCATATGCAGGGGACATTTGGCCTGATCAGTCTTTGTGGTTTTTTGAGACAGAGTCTCGCTGTGTAGTCCAGCCTGGCCTCGAGCTCCTGGTGATCCTCCTGCTTCAGCCTCCCAAGTGCTGGGATGACAGGCTGACACGTGTGTGCCACCACACAGGGCTGGGACCCTCTGTGTAACCACCAGGTGACCAGACACCCC